GGACAGCTCATAGATTTGTAATTCTCATCTATCACAGCAATAAAATATGTCCTTAGCTTGACCTTAACCACCACAGAATCTCCACAAAAATAGAACTGAATGTTATGTTTCTTTAATGTATTCTTTTTGGATGTATGGGGAAACCTTAGTAAAAAAAATCAGCTTATATCTTTCAAATGATCTTAATCTATGGAATTTACAATGCCAAAGCATGGAAATACATTTATATTTGGACTTCTACATACAGTAGAATCCACAGTACTAAGGCTCTGAAATGGTAGATGGGTTAAATTTTTGTCCAACATATTATTTAATGGCTTTGACTGTATAATTTGGTTGAGGTGATTCCTTGGACATCAGACTATTGCTCAGTATAAGGAAAGTTTCATTTCAAAGCAGGTGTGACTTCTGACATTGACAGGACATACTGTATCTTAAAGTTTCCAATAGATAGCTGGGTCTTTCCTTCTACTCTGCTAGTCCATGAAACAGTACCCTGGAGAAAAGAAGTCTGAGTTACAATCTCAGTGCTGTCCGAAACAGCTGAGTGACCATGGACAAGTTAATTCACCTTTCTCAGTATTGATTGTCTCATCCATAAAAAAAGAGAGTGATTCAGGCTAAATGAGTCTGAGACCCATGATTCCTGCATTTTGACTTCCCAACTCAACCCAAAGTATAAAAAAAGACTCGTTCCCTAAATTTAGGGCTTTCCTATCTTTCATCTCTTAAGCTCGACCAGGAAGTGACTTATTCTTTAGCACATGGCTGTCATCATCATTCAAAATCCATTGCAACCGCTAAAGGACAGTTAAACTTCACAGCTGTTGCCCCCAATTTGATGGTGATAGCATTATAGGAGGAAATTATTTCTCCCAACCCAAACCAATTGAGCTGTGATTGCAGGCAAAATTATTTCAAGGAGCTGCCCATGAAGATAATGGGGAGATTCCTGCAGCTCCTGTTAATCACCAGCACTTCACGCACTGATGCGTTAATAAGTGCAGTCACTGGTAATCAGGGCAGACAGCTAGGGTCAGGAGGAAATAACAGGAGGATGACATCTACTCCATGGAGAGGTCAAGAGACCATACAAGAGACTTCTAGAGAGGCAAACGGCCCTGCAAATGAATACTATCATTTTATCTCCCAAGGAGGGGAAACAGGAAATGCCCATGTTATTAGCAAGTGTCTCCGCCAGATGCTCTAAGTGAGGAAAAGACCTACTCCCATCCCTCCTTTCTAGCATGGGTCTGAAGTGTGCTAGGGTCTCTCTACCACAATCCTGACAATCCTTCCCAGTCACAGAGAATTTGTTCCTTAAAAACCATGTCACTTCACACACAACAATCAGCACTCCTGAGATGCCTTTCATCTTATTTGATGGCTACAGAAAACTCAAGACCAGAAAGACTCATGTATCTTTCATATGAGTTTTATGTAACAGGGTTTAGCACTCAAAATCCTGGCCTGGGAAGGAGGTAGCCTGTTTCTAATCTCAGTGGCATCATTGAGTCACTGCCTGTTTCTACTCTCAAAGGCAACACTGATTCACTATGTGATCAACGGTGATTTACTTCCCTGTGCCCTTTCTTTCTTCAAGTACAAAATTGAGTCAATATTAACCATTCAAGGATATCATGAGGAAAAAAGGAAAATCTATGTTAAAGTGATTTGGGCCATTCAGAGTTAAGGAGCTCTTCATAGCCATGTAATGATTGCAGCTGAGCCCAGTTATAAATGGGTCCTGGAAAACAAAGCAACTTCTGAGTTACATAACTTCCTAATGAACCAACAACAATAATACAATGGAGTGGGTAAGAGTGTGACCTCCACAGTCAGACCTTCTGGGTTCATGTCTGACTCCAGTACTTATTGAGTATTTACACACATTATGTACCTTAAGGCCCCATTTTCCCACCTATAAAATGAAAAGCATAATAGTACCTGCCTCATAGGTTTGCTGCGGGAATGAAATTAGATCATTCATACAGAGAGCTTAGAAATGTCTCAGGCTTATAGCAACTAATCAAAACAGGTTAGATATTATTATTTGATGTAATATGAGGTTGGAACTCAGATACTCTAGAGTACAGAAGAGCAGCAGTTACCATGTTATAGTCCTGCAAATATTTTGCTACCTAGCTTCTGGTGAAAGCCCAGCTGAAAAAAACTTAGCTCAAGAATACAACTCCAAAGGTGGGAGCCACATTGGCTGTGTGAGTGGCCTAAGGAAGATCCACAGGTACCGAGTAATAGCTGTGCAGGGAGTAAGGTCGAGGGAGGCCAGGCCCTCAACCAGGCCTCAACTGAGATACCTGACCCATATTCTCAACCAACAGAAGAGGCAACCCTTTCCCCATGTGAACTGTAGGGTGACGATGACACCCCATTAGAAGTCATGAGAAACATGCCGTGGGTATATACACAGGGGACATGATGTGAAGTGAAGCAGCAATAACCAAAGTCCCAACATAGCAAGGATCTCAGACAAAGTTTTCCTACACTATGACCAATACGAGGGCTCTGGAGAACACCCACGTCTGCAGGCTTCCAGTCAAGGGGCCTCCCTATTGACTTCCAACAACCCAGCAACATCTCTGCAACACACATTTCCTCCATAGTCCTCCTCCCACCCCACCCACCTCTGAAGCATTCCTATGATTTGCCAGTTAAAACCCCTTCCCAAGCTAACTATTATCTCTTGAAATTAGAAGTGCTTTATAAAAAGGTAAATCACCATGTTTGGAGGCTAAGTAGGACAGCAAGCAAAACGTGTTCCCCAGCCCTTCACAATTCTGCATCCTTTGCTGAACAATTCACTTCCCTTTCTTAGCTTGGAAACTGGCCTTCCCACCTACAGCTCAGCAGCAGTAGGGCTCACCAGCCAGGCTGAATGGAAACAATCCCCTCAGCTGCCTGGCTTCAGGCCAGGAAAGGGCCTGAGAACCAACTCTATGAAGAGCTAGGGTCTCAGTAAGTGAGGGTGAAAGGGGTATAGGAAACAGAAGAGCTAGAGATCAGAATTTGCTGTAAGAGCTATGAGACATGGAAAAAAATTGACATGATAGGCAACCAGAGGATGACTTCTTTTCATTGGGTAATGAGAACTCCATTCTGTGCTTCAAGATTAAAGTTCTAAGTGGGCACTGCTCTTAAACTCAGGTTTTGTTAGAAGTGGATGCCCCCACTGTGTCTGTATTGCTACATTAGATCTAGCAAGGCAAATACAATATAATGGTCATCTTACCCAGGTTTCCTGCTCAAATTTTTTTTGTCCTGCATGTCTCCCTTGTTCTATTCTAGCCAGTGCCTGTTCATGAGAACTCAGGCAAGCCATTTAATCTCTCTAAGCCTCGATTTATTCATCCGTAAAACTGGGAGGTGAAAATTACATATCTTACCTTCTTTGCATATGTGTTTATAAGGATAAAGTAAGATTAACTCTTAAAGAACCTGGCAAATGATAAGGTGCCATTTGTAACTCTAATAAATTCCAAGGTCCATATGGTCCAGTCTACATATAAAACTTAAGTCAGAAGCACAGTCAAATACTCAAAATGAATTAAAAGGGAATTCCAGTCTCTTGCTGCATCTGTCAAAGAACATTACAGATGATCCAATTAATGACCATCACAACACTTTGTATTTCCTTTTCTCTCCTCCCCAGTCCTCTACACAAGGCCACATAAGAGGCTTTCACTCTCCCTCTTCCTACTTACCTTTCTATCGGTTCTTTAATGCAGCTTGACTTAGCCTCATTTTTTTTTTTTTTCCCATCTCAGCTATACTATTATCTAGATGTGAAGTCTGGCAACTTACTCTTTTATTCCTCCCATCTTTCCAGTTCTAGCACTTTTCATCCAACTCCATGATTTGCATTTAAAAAGCCTGGAACAGGGTGGGTAAAGGCACAAATCTCTGCAGAGGAAGAGGCTAAGTTAGCAATCCTCTTTGTGGAGGTAGGCTAGGGAAAAGGACACCTATCAGTAAATCTGGACCCTAGCATGTGTTATTGATAAGGTACTTGACAAGGTACCTACACATCTACTAAAGAGGCCTGAAGACAAAAGATGCATAAAATCAAGTTCTTGTAGAAAGCCAGGCTTAATGGTTTGTTTCTAAAATGGTGGACTAATTAGGATCCTTATAGGCACAAATACAGTGTTTTCCAAAATCTCTTCTGCAGAAAAATAGTTCCCAGGATATTAACACATTGCATGGAAAAAATATGGTTCCACTGTGAAATCAGTTTGAGAAATTCTGGGTTAAACAAAGTTAAAATCACACCTTCTCAGCAACTTAAATCAGGTCGTTTTAACATGAAATATTTTGGCTGATAAATGTTTTACAGAACACATTTTAGGAAATGCTGATTTTGATGATTCTCATTATTTTATAGATGAGGAAGCTGAGACCTACATAATGTCACTCAAGGTTCCAGTGGAGACGGGGTGCTAGATTCTAGGCTTCTAAAACCCCTGTGTGTGTTAGACCTGGGGCAATGTCATTAATATAAAGAATGCCTCTTCAGAATTGCAAAAGTTGCATTTACCTGAGTACCAAGGTTGTCATCCTAAATAATCACCCAGGATAACCAATATCATACACCGAGTCTAACCTGGACTCCATGTGTCTTCATATTTTGTAGCCCCCTAATCAATACCCAGAATTATGATGAAGAGTCTCCTTAGCAAATGACAATGCTTTTTTCCTACCCTAGGATAAAGTTAGCATCACTCCTAGTGCTGTCTAACTGCTCTCATCCCAGAGCATGTAGCCAGTGGTCAGTCCCTCTCCAATCATCTATATGTAACTATGTACAAAGTTCAGATGATGCTAAAAAGAGAAATCCATTATATAGGAGCAATGACAGACTACTGAGATAGTTGCTCCATGTCAACATTACAATAGCCATCTTCAACAGGGAGATGGGCATGTTGGGGGTGCTGTGGATCCATTAGAGGAAAATAGCAGATGGATGACGACCGTCTCTTTACCTTCTTCTTGGATTTAAAGACGTTACACCTGAAGACATTGCTGGCACCATCTCGAGCAATATAGCTGAAGATCTTCAAGTCTTGGGAATCATGAGAGACATAGAAGATCCTAAAGGAAGAACAATAGAAAAATGCACTGAAAATGGCCTTAGGTTCAAATCTCCAATCAGGAAAGCTCTGTTTAAGGATACTCTGAAGCAGAGCTCATGAGAGCCAAGTCATGACAGAAAATCTTCTTCCTTCGGGATCGAAAAGTCACAATGCAGGAGGCACTTCCAGCAGGCCCCGCAAACCCTAACACTGTGACTTTCAGATTTGGTAGAGTGGGCATGGGCATAGAGTCGACACTATGGTTAGCCATCTCCTGAGGTGGCAAACCTGTCCCTGTAACTTGTGTGTTAGAAGGAAAAATCATTCCCATCCTTATCAGAGCAACAAACCTGCTTCTTATCTAGAAAAATGCACACAAGTTTTCTGATGCCTGTTTAAAATTAGCCCCAAATGCAGAGACTTGGGGAACCAGCAATGTTTACCATATTGGGAGGGATTAAGGTACTCTTAGATCCTTTGGTGATAGTGACCCCACTCTCTGTCCCTCCCCCTCTGCCAGGACCACAGCATCCATGCGTTCATTCCATGACTCAACCAATCCACTGAGTTCACACTGTGGGCCAGGCACCATCCCAGCAGCCAGGGATGCAGCAGGAACAGGACAGAAAAAGCCCCTGAACTCACGGACCTTACATGTAGGCAATGTCAATAAGCAAATATAAAGTAAGTGCTATGAAGAAAAATAAGACAAAATAAGGGATGGAGCATGATGGGGGCTATTTTAGATAGGGTAGCCAGGAAGGTCTTACTGAGAGGCTGAGATCCAAATGGGGTCAGGGAGCCAGTCACTGAGATACCTGGGCCAAACCACAGCAGGAAGCACACACACCAAGTTTAGAAGCCCTGCAGTGTTCAGAAGTGTTACAAGCATTCAAGGAACACCCAGGGGGCGCAACTGAGTGTGGCTCAAGTGGAATGAGTATGCTCAGCAACAAGGTCGTAGAAGCAGCCAGAGGCCAAAATGTAGAAGGCTTTGAAGGTCATAGCTTATATTCTATGTGAGATGAGAAACCCTTCAGAGGCTTCTGGGCACAGGACTGACTTGCTTATGCTTTTAACTAAAGGATCATCCTGGCTGCTTGGGGTAGGCTGAGGTAGGGACAAGGGGAGGCTGGGAAAAGGGGGATAATTATGAGCAAGGCCCTTGTGGCTGCATCTTAAGCCAGCTTAGGACAGGGCTCAGCAGAACCTCCAGGTCTGACTGCTGTGGGATCGGTGGAGGGAGGTGGAGCAGGTGTTCAGTGAAATTAGTTTTGGGCAGTCCAAGGAGAGTATTGACCTTGGTAGCACCTAAGAGGCCACATCATTTCCACAATACGTTTTTCACCACTAACACTGATGGCTTTCATCCAAGTATTTAACAGGCCTGGTTTGTTTCAGTGTAGGTCTGTGCTGTGCAGAAGAAAGAGAATGGGGATTCAGAGTGTACAACTTTGCCACTTACTACAAAGTAAGCTATGTCACCCCTCAGAGACTCAGTTTTATTATCTGTACAATGGAACTATTAATAGTAACACTTCCAAGAGGTACTGAGGAGGTAGAATAGTTAGTAAAGTACCTTCTTACATCCCCTTACTGATGTAGCCTCTAAATAGCCTAGTAACTGAGATTCTTGCCACAGTACTCCAAGAAGCCAGGGAAGAACATTCACAAGAAAAGTGGGCACAGGGAGGAGAACAATACTGTGAAAAAACCCAGGTTCACCTTGGGGACTGCAGTTTCTCTGCGAAACTCAGCTAGCAGGCATTTCAGTACATCTCACATGTCTATCATCTCTAAATGATCCTGAAATAGAGGCTGTTTAATGTGGTTTCCAGTCCCCTGTCCTTCTAATGATGCCAAATTATCTTCCTAACATCAAAGGCACAAATCAACAACTGTATCTCAGCATCTCCTGCCTGAGCTCCAGGCCCATTCAGCCAACCCTCCTGGACATCTCCTCCTGAATGGTTTTCAAGCTTCTCAAATTCCTCAAACCCCTAAGTGAATTCATCATATTCCCCATAATTCTCCAAGTCCCGTCTTGATAAGGGGACACCATACCTACTCAAGCCAGAAACCCAGGTGTCATTCTCAATGGCTTCGTCCACTGTTTCCCAATATCCATCACTCATGAGCAAGTTCCTTGCAGATGTGCTCCCTAATATGTCTCTGATTTATGTTTTTCTCTTCAACTCCAAGGTATTGATCATTTAGAGTTCTCATTTTTCTCCTGTATCTTTACAACATCCTCTAAACAGTGTGCCACTCTTCTTCCTAACTCACCTATTGTCAACCCATTCTCTACACTGCTAGCAAAGTGTTATTTTTAAAAAGACAAATTACATCCAACAATTTACTCTTAAAGCCATCCAAAGGCTTCCTACTGCTTTTAGGATAAAGTCCAAACTCCTTAGCATAGCGTACCTACCTGTCCACAGTCATCTTTCTCCAGAGTGCTGACCTACATAGGCCTGCAGAACTAGGTGTGTACATCTTCCTGACCTGCAACTGCTATGAACACCTTTGGCGGCCTCGAAGACTTGGGTCAGAGCAGCCTTCCCCTCCCTTTTCTTCAGCAGTCTGAGTTGCTGAATACTCCAGGGCTCAACTTTGCCACAGCACATTTCTCACACTATGATGTTTTTACATGTGCTCCTTGAAGGAACAAGGAACACATCTTGGTAGCCCCAGTTCCAGTACAGTGATTGGCACGTGGGAAGCTCCTAGCCTGGTTAGAAGGGAGAGAGGTGTTCCAGCTGTCATTAATGAGCATCTATAATGTGATCTGCCTGGCTATTCATTTTCCCCAAGGAAGTCAGATCCAGTTAGTTCAGCATCACACATAAAACTTCTTGATTTTTTAGTTAACTTATTCTTATGTAATACCCTAAGGACTGAGAACGAGGTTTAAAACTGAAACAGCAGATTTGAATGCAAACTGGCATGCCCACAAGACACAGAGATGTAGAAGGCACAGAGGAATGGCAGTAAGCCAAGGTTAACTTAACCTTAATAGACAAAAGCATCTTTTCAGAATATCTGATGAGAACTGTACATGGATGCAGCCGCTGTCGTTGGACCACAGCTCTCTGGAAATTGCTCTGCTATGTCTGATTTCAGAAACTTAACGTGTTGTTATTAAAAGTAAATAATCTCTAGCTAACCAAAAAGTCAGCTAGTTAAAGCTTAGAAAAGTTTCCACCAACATAGCCAAGACGCAGAAAGATTTTCCATGTGACCTCATTCATCAACAAACTAATAAATCAGCAAATTAAGGTCTCCTGGGTCCAAATTTACAGATCAAGAAATAAATTCCAAGAACCCTCATTTCTCCATTGCTTGGTTTTCTTAAGCACTGATTGTGGGGATGAGAAAAATTAGGGGAGGGGAGAGGAAGGTGAGTGCTCAAGAGAATAGGAAACATTTCCCTTTTTCTTTCCTTCCTTCTTCATCTTTATCCTAAGTCAGTCTAGGGTAGTTCTGATGATCCTGCTTCCAAAAAGTACCTTAGTCAATTTTCCCAACTTTCACTCTCTCTATCTCTCTCTCTTTTTTCTTGCTGAAATCTTAGCTCATGGCAACCTCTGCCTCCCAGGTTGAGGTAATTCTTATGCTTCAGCCTCCTCAGTAGCTGGGATTACAGCTGTGAGCCACCACAGCCAGCCCTAAAATTTCTTATTTTTATTTCAAAATATGTATAGCATTATAATTTTTACCTATTAACAGAACTGTTATGCTTTTACATAGTAATAGACTTTTCTGCAAATTCATCATATGTCCATAAACTTACCATAAATGACTGAAAGAAAAACAATATCTGGAAGAAATTGGATTTTGGGTTTATCATCATGCTACAATTTAGGTTGACAACGTGATTTTAAAACCCACTAGACTCACCACCAGCACCCCCCTTCTCAAACTATTCATCTATAGGTAAACTCACTTCTCTTAAGATCACAGAAACATAACAACAATTTAGGGTAGAAGGAAATCTGTGGGATCATCAGGCCTGGATACAAGCCAGCATCTCTGTCAGGATTCATCAGTGATAGGCAATTCACTCTCTAACAAAGTATCGGATTCCTTTTTTAGGAGGTTCTAGTTACCTGGAAAATTTCCCACATGTTGATTGGAATTCTGCCAACAGGAATGCAGTGGAAGAAAATGGCTGAGAACACTGGCCCTAAGGGGGACAGACCTGGATTTCAGCCCAACCTTTGTCACTTACTAACTGGAACGCCCTGGTCATTATCGCTACCCCCTTCTTGTCCTTCACCTGTGAAACAGGCATGAGCATTGTAATGTACCTCACTCATGCTAGTAAGGCTTAAAGAATGAATATGTGGCCAGGTGCGGTGGCTCACGCCTGTAATCCCAGCACTTTGGGAGGCCAAGGCGGGTGAATCACGAGGTCAAGAGATCGAGACCATCCTGGTCAACATGGTGAAACCCCGTCTCTACTAAAAATACAAAAAGTTAGCTGGGCACGGTGGCGCATGCCTGTAATCCCAGCTACTCAGGAGGCTGAGGCAGGAGAATTGCCTGAACCCAGGAGGCGGAGGTTGTGGTGAGCCGAGATCGCACCATTGCACTCCAGCCTGGGTAACAAGAGCGAAACTCCGTCTCAAAAAAAAGAATGAATATGTGCAGAGGGGTCTGCTTATAGCAAATGGTTCATAAATGGGAACTGCTTTAAATACTGCCACATTACTGCTCAAGTTCTATCCTTAAGGACCTCAGAGAACAAGGCTAGTCCTCTTCCAAATGGTCAACATTTTAATATGTGGAAAAAACACTACGTTTAAACTTACTCCTTTCATTTTTTTTTAAACTTTAAGTCCAGGGTACATGTGTAGGATGTGCAGGTTTGTTACATAGGTAAATGTGTGCCATGGTGGTTTGCTGCACCTGTCAACCTAGGTATTAAGCCTGGCATGCATTAGCTATTCTTCCTGATGTCCTCCCAGCTCCCCTACTCCCCTACACTCCTTTCATTTTTAAAGTGAACTACTTCCT